TGCAACAAGTTAGCATAAAACTAGCCAGTACAACACCTGGTAGAGGATTAATATCCAGAATAAATAAAGTGCTCAAGAAAATAATAATAATAATAATAATATCCATTCAAAAATAGGTCTGGGATCTAAATAGAGAAATTTCAGAAGATGAAACAAATGGCTGAGAAATATTTTTTAAAATGTTCATCCTGGGGGGGGGGGCAGTTGTGGGGCACACCTTTAATCCCAGCACTTGGGAGGCAGTGACAGGCAGATCTCTGTGAGTTCGAGGCCAGCCTGGTTTACAGATTAAGTTCCAGGACAGGCTACAAAAGCTACACAGAGAAACCCTGTCTTGAAAAATAAAGCAAAACAAAAGAAAAAGAAAGATCATCATCCCTAGCAATTAGCAAAAAGCAAATCAAAATCAAAACAACTTTGAGATTTCATCTTACCCAGTCACCATGGCAAAGGTCAACAAAACAACCAACAGCCAATTCTGGAAACAGTATGGGAGAAAGGAAATAGTTATTCACTGTCAGTAGTATTGCAAACTGGTCAGGTCACTATGGAAACCAGTGAGGACAATTCTCAAAAAACTAAAAAAGAAATCCTCGGTGTAACCCAGCCACCCCTTGGCATATGCCCAAAGCATCATCAGCATCTTCCACTTCAGACACCTAATCAGCCATGTTCACTGTTGCTCTGTTCACAACAGCTGAGAAATGGAAACAACCTACATACCCTTGAAAATTCGGCACATGTGTGCTATAGAATAATATTCATGTGTAAAGAAACATGAACTTTGCAGGTCAATGGATGGAACCAGAAAAGATTATGAATGAAGTAACCCAGACCCAGAAAAACAAGTATTCCATGTTCACTCTCATCTGAGGCCCCTAGCTCTAGATCTTTAGATATGAGTTCAAAAGCTGGGATAATGCAGAAACCATGGAAACCAAAAGGGACCATTGCCAGAGTAGGGGGTGGAGCGTAATAGAGAGAGGAGTTGCAGGATAAAAGTGATTGGGTAAAAATGGGGGGGGCTCCAATTAGTGAGAGGGAAAGAATTATATAGAAAAGTTAGAGGGAGGGGAGCAAAATAAAGATGTCTGAAAAAGTTGTAAGGGATCATACCGTCAACTATCTACCTAAGGGAGGAAAAACCTATAATATGTATAAGTCTATGTATAAATATATATGAATAACTTAAATGAAACTTTCTTATTGTCTTAGACAGGATTTCTATTGCTGTGAAGAGACACCATGACCACAGCAACTCTCATAAAGGAAAACACTTAATTGTGGTGGCTAGCTTGGTGCCACAGGGTGCTGGAGAAATAGCTGAGAGGTCTACATCTTGACCTGCAGACCACAAGAAGTGGTCTCAGAGACTTCATGTAGCGGGGTCATAGATGAGACCTCAAAGCCAGCCTCTACAGTGACACACGCTCCCCAACAAGGCCATCCAAGGCATAATTACTGCCACTTCCTTCGGGGGCCATTTTCTTTCCAACCACCACACTTATCTTGCCTGACAATGCATCCTCCAAGAGCTAAAAAGACCATCCATTCACAAGACACGAGGAACCTCTTTTGAGTTGTTGGTCAGTGTTGTCCAAGAGACTTCCCAAAACATTACAGACTGTTGCCACCACCCTTGATTTTCCCCCATAGGTGGAAAATAAGTCCATAATGCTAAAGACACCATACACTTCATGCACAGGCCCAGAGGACCCTGAGCCGGAACTGACCTAAATGTCCCCTCCCTGAGGTCTAACTTCCAGGGTACCAGAGGATGTCATGTAAACTTCCAAAGGAAACAGCAGCCAACAGGCCTTCCTAGCAGAGTGGTGACTCTAAGGTGCAGAAGTGGCACACATACTGGGTGGCAACCAACGATGCTGTAATTGGACTTAAGACTCACTCAACAAAAGGGAGACCATGCTGGTACTGCAACCCTGGCCAGTCATCCATGGCTAGGAAATGCATGGATCTAGGAGGAGAACCTACAATCACCACTTTACCAAGCCAAGATAATCCTTAACTACATTTTAAATATTGGTCACTAATACCCACAGATGAGTATAGTTATGACTGATGCCTTGTGGTGATTTGAGTGAGAACAGATGGCCCCATAGGCTCGTGTATTTGAATGCTCACTTGGTCCCCAGTTTGTAGAACTGTTTGGGAAGGATTAGCTGTAGGAAGTGTCGCTGGATATCTCTCTCCCTGTCTCATGCCTGTGGATTAGATTTAACTCTCAGCTATTGCTTCAGTGCCATGTCTTCCTGCCTGCCACCATGCTACCTACCCTGAAGGTCATCAACTCTAACCCTGTGCAACAGCAAGCTCAATAATTAAATGCTTTTTAAAATAAATTGCCTTATTCATGGTGTTATGTCACAGTGACTAAGATATTCTTCATCAAGGAAACTTCTCTTTGCAACAGAGACCATTACAGTCAACAGATTGCAGTTTTGTAGAGCCCAGGCCCAACAGATACATATGGAAAACAACTCTTGCACCTAAGGCCCAGGGAACATTACAGCAGGAGCTGAAAGAACGTAAGGGCCGGAGGATCCAGGACTTTGCTGTGAGATGTGTCTCTTAGGATGTCAGAAGCTACACCCATAAAGTCTCACCAACATGACTGCCTAAACATGAACTAAAAAAGGAGAAAAACAATAGCCATGCTAAAATGGACAGGGGAAAACCCACAGGGCTCCAACCCTATACAAAGAATGACAGCCAATCAAAGAATGCTCAGAGTAGGACAAAACAGTCTTCCCGCAGGAAGAGTATTTCAGTTGGTTACCCAACAATACAAAATTATGCATCCAAGTAACATTATACAGACCAAGCAGGTTATACTTAGGAATATATATTGTATGCATATATACATTGCATATGCAAATGACAACAATTAATGAAAAAGCAGGCCATGAATTTAAATGAGAAAAAAAGAGAGTATATGGGAAGATTTGGAGGAAGGAAAAGAAAGAGAGAAGTGATGTATTTATATTTTATTCTCCCCAAATTAATGAAGTGATTTAGAATAAAGATTTAGGATAAAGAATAGCATAACCATTATGCATGTAGCGTCACCTAACCTCCGAGTCAATATTCTGCCAGCAATGTGAGACTGACTCAGTGTATCCCTCCCGAGTGCCTTCCCCATTCTCCTGCAGTACAACCATTAGAGTGATCTAGTGCTCAGCAGTCTTGTATTTCTTTATAATTGGATTGTGTACATCCACTCTAAGAGTCAATAGTGGTTGCTTTCTATGGCTGTGGTGAAGCCCGTACCCACAGTTAAGAAATTAGACATTGCGCCCCAGGTGTATCCTTACTGCATTGCACATGTTTCTGTAGGGGACAGTAAGCCACGGACTACGGATCGGCTCTTGTTATACGTTTCTTCCCTAAAGGCATTATATTCTGTATCTGAAAACAATACCCTAAAGATAAAGGTTTCTGTCCCACCTGGTCCCATAGCCACTCTGCCCCAAATAAACACACAAAGACTTACATTAGTTTATAAACTACTGGCTGATGGGTAGGGCTTCTTACTGGCTAGCTTTGTCTTAATTATTAACCCATTTCTATTAATCTAAGTTTCTCCTTTTGCCTTCCTCTCCCCAGCCCCAAGAGTGACTCCATGCTGCTCACCTTCCTCTCCCCAGCCTTCTCCTGGTCTGGTGACCACGCCTATCCTTCCTGCCTGACTATTGGCCAAACAGCGTTTTATTCATCAACCAATAAGAGAAGCATATATACAGAAAGACGTCCCCCATCAATATGCAATATTAGTTTGTATTTTAAAAATAAGTTAACATAGCATTGTTTTAGAACAGAGAGGGAGACATGCTGACTTTTGAAGGCCTAGGCTTTATGTGGGGCCTCACTTCCAGTTGCTCACTGTGAATATCCGTCACCTGATCTCAGCCCTCCACAGCCGTTCAAACCTCCACAGCCTCCAGTGCCCTCACTCAGGCCTTTTCCCTCATGTTTGAAGCCTGTGGATTTACAGGGTTTTACAATGAGACTGTGCACTTTGAAAGTTGTTTGTTTTACCTTCAGCAGCACTTTTAGGTGTCACAGGGGAGATTTTCAAGATGGCTAATCTGCCAACTTTGAAGAAGTAACAGTCTTAAGAGCATTCTAAATATTCTATATATAGGAAACAGTCATTTCCCAGGAGAACTTCACGATCTGAATGGCTGATATATTTATAAAACATCTGCTTCAAGTTTCTTTAGGAGTATGTCAGTTTAATCTGAGCAGCTTGCTGTGTTTCAAATGTTAGAGTTTTATATGATAGCTTTTGTTTTCATGGATATTCTTTGTGATTTTAAAATAGAGAATGACAGCATATGTCTAATAGGTTCAAAAAGAAACAGTGAGGATACTTTCCCTTCATTGGAACACAAGAAAGGCATCCCCCCCCTCCCGCCCACATGGAGACTGCAAGACACTGAAGAAACAAAGAATCGAGGTACAGGAGTAAGACCTAAATCGATGGGGCAGGGTCAGTAAGAAGGCACACTCTGAGTTGGGTTGGCTAGGACAGCATGAGGAAGGATTGACTATAGTAAAGTGGAGTTTTGATGGTGTGAGCAAGTAGAACCCTAATTCTGGAGAGTTTTATGTCAACCTGACTTAAACTAAAGTCATCTGAGAGAAATTCCCTCCATAAAATCAGACTGTAGCAAGCCTGGAGAGAGTTATCTTAACTAATGATTCATTCGGGAGGGCCCAGCCCAGCCCACTGTGGGTGGTGCTACCCCTGGACCCTCCACGGCCTCTGCATCAGCTCCTGCTCTATTTGACTTCCTTCAGTGATGGTCAGTGGTGTGGAAGTGTGAGCCAAATGAACCCTTTCTTCTCCAAGTCACTTGTGATCAAGGTGTTTCATCACAGCAATAGGAACCCTACCTGGGACACCTTAGTAACTTAGTGAGAGTAACAAGTATGGAGGCCTTGCTCAGCGGTCCACCGAGAAACTACTGCACCCAGTGTTCAAATTTTGTGGTTTATTGCTTTTGGTTGGTTGTAGGTGGTTATTTTATTTTGCTTTGAGTCTATATGTTTCAAATTTTCTCTACAGGTCTGGGTCCTGAAAGACTGTCAACAGGGTCTCTTCTGCCTCAGTTGGTTAGTCAACGGGAGGCGCATGCGCGGGAGCTAAGGGTGGCGCATGCGCAGGAGCGAAGGGTGGAATGGGCGAGCCGATGTGAGGTGAACCAGGCTCTGTACTTACTTCTCTAGCGCCTTCCCTGACAGGTCATCATGGCCACAGCTTCTGGTAGCACGCAGTTGCCATCTCCGGGCAACATGGTAAATGTTCCCTCTCACACTTAGTCATTCAGTGATGCTAGTGTCTCATTAACTCGAACCTAAATGCCGTTGATACTAAGTTCTTCTCAAATCATTCACCTTCGTAACTGCATTTAATTCTCTATTTTTTGAGCATTTTATTTTTAATCACATATTTATGTGTGTGCGGGTGGGGTGTATGCATGCAACTGCAGTACCTGTGAAGCCCGGGAAAGGGGGTCAGATCTCTTGGAGCTGGAGTTACTGGTGGTTGTGAGCTGCCCAGTGTGGGTTCTGGGAACCAAACTCAGGTCCCCTGGAAGAACAGTTCATTCTCGTAACGACTGAACCCTTTCTCCGGCAGCCCCATCAAATTCTAGCTGTAATTCTGGCTGGTACAACTGTAATGGTGTTTCTGGTGTGAGCCGAGGCTAAGGAGAGAGGTAGCAGAAGAGTTATACTGAGGTAGTCAACTACGATGTTTAAAACATTTACTTAGACTAAGAGAGAGAGAGAGAGAGAGAGAGAGAGAAAGAGAGAGAGAGAGAGAGAGAGAGAGAGAGAGAATGGGAAAGGAGATAGAATGCATGGGTGTGGGTGGATCGGTTACAGATCTTAGTCAGTTATCCAGAAAAGTCCAATACTATTTGTCATGACTATGATGTGGACACTATGGCAATTGCTCCAAGATCTTCAGCTTGTGTAACAGGAAGAGGTAACATCTGCAGTGTGGAAAACACTGGAGTGAACCATGGTTTCCAAAAGTGTAGTCAAACACCAGAGTGAGCCGTCCCTTTAGCTTGACTCCAAGGATGTTTGACATGAAAAGCTTTTGGGTAAACCAAGATGAAGGGAAGTGGCCAGCTGGACTGAAGCATCTTGGAAGAAAGATTTGGAAGATTTGAAGTTTGTGAGATCTGAACAACATCACTGCCTAAGAAAAAGAGGCAGGAATAAAAGTTGAGCAACTCCGTTGCTTTGTTACTGAAGACAGGAGAGGTGTGGAAATAAGAGCAGACAGTAAGAGCCAAAAAAAACACGTGGAGTTCAGCTGCTGGGATTCTGCATTGTCTCACGTAAATATCTCTCAGATGGAGAACATTCTTCCAGCATCTGGACTTGACCTCAGCGAGTGATGATGGTGTTTGGGATCTCTCAGAATTTTAGAAGCCACAGACTTGGTGCAAATAGCACTGGATTTGGAGAAGCTTCGTTTGTATCCTGACATCACCTTCAGTCTGTTACATGGCATTGGGAAATTGCTTAGCCTCTCGTACTCGTAAAATGGGGACAGAATTTTTACTTCTACCTCAAGGCTTTATGAAAATTAGACAAAACAGTGTAAAGTGTGGAGCATGACGTGTAGCACATGGTAAATACTGGACACTTTCACTTTTCATGAAAAGATTAAGGAATAGCACTGAGAGCAACACGAAAACAAAACCTAACAGTGGATTAGAATCTAATAAAGGAAGAGGATGTACCTTAATTTGCAGAAATGAACAAATGAGGCAAAATCAGTGTTCTATTGCTTCGAAGAGACACCACGACCGCAGCACCTTTTATACGAGAAAACATGTAACTGGGGCCTGCTTATAGTTTCAGAGTCTAGTCCATTACTTCATGGTAGAGAGCATGCTGGCACACAGGCTGACTGACATGGTGTTAAAGAAGCAGGTGAGAGTCCCACTTCTGGATCTGCCCATAGCAGGAAGAGAGTGACACCCAGTCTGGCTTCTAGTTTGGAACCTCAAAGCCCAACCCCAGTGACACATGACACACCCACTCCAGCGAGGCCACACCCACTCCAACAAGGCCACACTCCCCTAGACCCTCTCAAGTAGTGTCATTCCCAGATGACTAAGCATCCAAATATAGGAGCCTATGGGGGCCATTTTTATTCAAACTGCCACAGTCAGGATGAGGACCATCACGGAGTCCCAGTCCCTGGGACCCTGGTGGCTTTATATCCACGGCAATGCTTTCTTCAAAAATCCTGAAGTGCCCACGAAGGAAAAGAGGGTGGAGAAAGGGAGAAGCCACGCCTTCTACAAACCACATGATGGGATTCCAAAGGACACAACGGTCCATGTCGCGTACTCTTCCTCAAATTTCCTCCACCAAACGCGATGCAGGCATTCACTCATTACGCAAACCATGTGACCTTCGTGTTGCTGTAATAAAACACCTGGCAGATTGACCTACGGGAGGAGAGGTTGATTCAGGCTCATGGTTCTGGAAGGATCAGTCCCTCATGGCGAGGAAGGCATGGTATGGAGACGACTTGGTTCGTGGCAAGAGGAGACTTCACCTGCGACTTCTTATACCTCTTGGATCAGGAAGGAGATTTCTCAAACCAGAGCAAGAATCAGATATTCCCCTCTGAAGCTCTCCAGGGTCCACTTCTGTTAGCTATGCCACAGTCCACTCTACAGCACGCCACAGGGCAACCAGCTGAGGACAAAGTGTCCAAACATCAGGGCCTGTGGGCACATTTCAGGTTCAAACTGTAGTACAGTTGCTTATGATCACTGGTATTTATCTTCATTTCCTTGTTGCAGTAAATATCGAGTTATATGTGTTCAGAACACTGGTAAAAGCTACACAAACATCTTGTCGTCGTGGAAGGGACACTGTAGTAAGAGAAGATAAAATTGACCCTAGCTGTTAAACACATCTTTAAGTAGGTTTGTAAAATAAACTCGCAGACCACAAGGTGAGTTAAAAGTCCCTGCCAGTATGTGGATGGGCGCCTTTTAAACTCCAGACCCGCTCTACCCTTCCCTGCCTCTGTGGTTTGAGAACAGTTACTTTATCTCCCCGAGCCATCGCTCCATTTGCCGTGAATAAATAGGGCTCATCATCACATTATCCAACAGTCATGAGGATTAGCTGTGATGGCTCACATGACCGGCTTTGCAGCAGTGCACACACACTGTGGAGATTCAATATACATGTATACACAAGTGTGAGCCGGACATTGGCCATGTCTAATGGAAAAAGTGTTTTGCATTATTAGTTAGGGTCAGTAGAGAGGAAGGATCTGGGAACAGAGGCTAGTCCGCTGGGCAGTTGGGATGCTTTCTCAACATGGTACCACTTTCCCATACAGATAGTAAGTATAGGAATAACAATTCATTCATGGCATTGTTGTGGAGGTGAGACCAGTGCCTGTAAGGCATTTAAAACAGCACTCAGGCATTCTGCAAACACCAAGAGGCCATAAGACAGGCTGTTTTCAAAGCCATGGGCCATGTCGAAGAAGGAGTCTGCTACAGCTGTAACTTGGCCTAAACCGAAGGAGTCAGCAAGCAATCACAGGAGGCTCCAGAGACTGTTCATTCCTTTGACGTGGACTTGGGAGGAAGGAAACAGCCATTGATAAGCACAGTTGTTTGAGTTCACCCATGGGAAAAATAAAAACAGATAAATGGAAATGAGTCACAGCCTGAGAAGGGCGATTTGGTATTTTACCAATAATGAATACTAATTTGTGCTGACACCATAGCTTAATACTTCTCTGGCAGATGTGTGTGTGTGTGTGTGTGTGTGTGTGTGTGTCTGCACGCATGTGCGGTATCAGCAATTGTCACATAATTTATTTTCCACCAGCTCCCAAGATACGTCACTCCTAGAAACAGCATTGTGCATTGCAACAGCTCTTTGTCATCACAGTGGTGCCTGGGAGCTGTTGCCGTTACACTAGGGCAGAACCTGGACTATATCTTATTCTATTTTCCAAACAGCCCAGATGATTTCAGTCTGTAGCTGTGACTGAGAAGCCATCTTCTAAGAGACGGTTTCAGAATCCCAATCAGTGAGTGGTCATCAAAATCCTTTTCCTCACAGCTGCTAGCCACAGAGCATGCACTCACACACGCGCTGAATAACGCCTGAGTCTTTCTAACATACTACTAAAAGCTGACTTCAGTTTCTTTTGCTCCCATTTAGCACAGGGAAGGAAAAGGGAGAACAAGCTTTTGTTTTGTACAGCCAGCCAACATTTGACGAGCATCCTAACGCTGTCTTCAGTTGAGAGCTGTGATGATGAGCTCATTGCGTGGAGCGTGGCCTAGCAGTTCATGATTCATGTTTTAGGTAGCTCAAGTTCAAAGAGCAACTTGTAATTGGTTAAAACTAACTTGTGGGTCTGATTTGTTTTGGGAGATGAGCTCATTCTGTGACAGGTTTACATTTATAATCCTCTGGCCTCAGAAACCTAAATATGTGTTACATGCATGTACCGCCTAACCTGTGCCTGGAAGCTTGTGGATTCTCTAGGTAAAATTTTTTTTCAATTTTTTTATTGTAGTAAAAAACATTCAGCAACTATGATCTTAGCATTTCTAAGTGCAATGAGGCATCCGTAGGAAAATTTCAACCTGAATAAGTTACTCATACCCAAGAAAATACAAAGAATAGATAATGCCAGAACATTAAATCAAAGGAGGAGGGGAACCCACATTACAACAATAAAATGACAGGAATCAACAAACATTGATAACTGTCAACATCCATGGTCATAATTCCCCACTAAAAAGACATAGACAAATATATTAGATTAAAAAAACAGTCTCCATCCTTCTGCCTCACCCAGAAACACACCTAACCATCAAGGATAAATGCCACTTCAGGGTAAAAGGATGGAAGAGTCTGTGCCAAGTGAAAGAATCCAAGAAGCATGCCAGTGTAGCCATTTTAATGTTTGACAAAGTAGACCTCAAACCAAAACTAATCAGAAAAGATAGGGAAGGTGATTTATCAAAGGAGAAAGCCACCAAGAGGATACTGAAATCCTAAATATTTGTGCACCAAATACAAGGGCACCAAGTCCACAGAAGAAATACTACTCCAGCAAAAATCATATATTGATGCCAACACAATGATAATGAATGACTTCCATATGCCACTCTTACCAATAGATGATTAATCCAGAAAAAATTAAACAAAAAATGCTGGAATTGAATCATGTCATAACCAAATGGACCTAGCAGATATTTACAGAACATGTCACCCAAACACAAAAAAATATACTTCCTTCTCAGTGATTCATGTAATTGTCTCCCAAATTGACCACATGCTGGCCTCAAAGCAAGTATCCACAGATACAAGAGAACTGAAATAACACACGGTATCCTGGCTTGTCTCATCACCATGGATTAAAGCTGTATATCATCCATAGAAACAACAGAAATCTTAGAAATTCACTGAAATGAACAACCCATTACCTCAAGCAAAATGGAACAAGACAGAATTAAGAAGGAAATTAAAAATATTTTAGAAATGAACAAAGATGAAAATACAACCTAACCAAACCTGTAAGACAAGATGAAAGCAGCTCTAAGAGGCAAGTTCGCAGCACTAAGTGCTACATAAAAAAATGGAGATCTCATATTAGCAACTTAACAGCACACCTGAAAGCTCTGGAAAATAAGCAATAATACCCCAAAAAGAGTAGAGCACGAGAAATGATAGAACTTAGGCCTAAACCAATGAAATAGAAACACCACCAACAACAACAACAATAGCAACAAAAACAATGCAAAGTGTTAATGAAATAAACTCTTAGACCAATTCACTAAAAGATGAGAGAAGATCTAAGTCAATAAAATTAGAGATGAGAAGGGGGCTATCACTATGGATACTAACCAAATACAGAGGATCATAGGGTATACTTTAAAAATCTGAACTGCAACAAATAAGAAATGTGTGTGTGAGAGAGAGACAGAGACAGAGACAGAGACAGAGACATCTGGGTAGGTTTTTTAAATATCTAGAAAATGTATCAGACATATGTAATGATAAATCTTTACTCCATCCACCTGCCGCCACATGAGCGAGCGCCCAGAATGACACAGAGTCTTATATTAGTTTACAGTGCTGCTGGCCAATTGACTAGGATTTCTTATATGCTAGCTCAGTCTTAATTATCATAAATCTATATATTTTATAAGACTTATCTTTTCGAGGACACCTTCCTCTGGCATCCTCTTCCCAGGATCACATGGTGGGCTCTGTAGAGAAGAGAACAGAAGGAAGAGAAAGAGCAAGCGAGCGATTTCCTGCTTATATTCTGAGTCTGCCTACTATGTCACTTCCTGCCTCGATCGCAAGACTTCTTATACTACATTTCCCAGAATCCTCTTCGACTCCTAGTCCCACCTATCTTGCTTTCCTATTGGCCAACAGTACTTTATCAACCAATAAGACAAACATATACACAGAAGGACCTCCCCCTTCAGACATAGTTATTTTTTCTCATTTATGAAATATATTACTGACCTTTTAACTTTGTAGCAGGATTGTAAATTGAACACTTTCACTACTTCAGCTAGCTATCATCCTAGTTTTGAAAATGGAAATCTGGCTCAACATGATGAACATAGCTAATATTCTGTCTTTAACCTTTAATTTTGTCACATTCATTTTTATTGGCATAGACGAAGCAAAAGCCCCAGAAATGGCCAGAGCAGCCTCAAAGGGTCTCATTTGAGCACCCCTTTCCATTCCTCTGTGCTTCCTCTGTTCTTTCTCTGCCATCTCCCCAGTTCTGACAGACAGGCTGACACAGAGGGAAGCGGTCAGCTATCGGACTTCTGCTTACTCTGGGAGGTAGACATTAGTCAGACTGGTTGTCGGGAATCTGTGGTTTACTGTAAAATGGAAAATGCTGATCATGTTGAGGACATAGAAGCCACTGAGTGGGATTGTGACAAATGTCTAATGTGGCATGTACTTTGTTACAATCCTAACAAAAAAGCCAAAAAAATAAAAACAAAACAAGCAAATACCCTTTCTGTATTTCTTTCACCTTGTTTCCTTTTCATGGTAGACCCAAAAGCAGGTGTTTTGAAAGTAAGGCCAAAGAATCTCAACTCTTTGTGACTTCAAAAAGAAAAGAGTGCCATAAAGTCAAAGAGAAATTAAAAAAAAAAAAAAAGAGGTTGCCTCTGTATTTAGTGAGACCCAGCCCTTGATCAATTTCCACTAAGTAAGACGAGGTGGGATTTGCAGAATACAGAGCTAGCCTTAAATAAAAAAGTCAATGTTTGCTCCACTCCTACTGAAGTTAGCACGATGCTCTGAGCTATTTGGAGCACTCAGACAGGCTACGCACTTGAATATCGACCGGGGGGATAATGTTCTTCTTGTCCTTGGGATGAACAGAGAACGTCTGGTTCCTGTTATTGCAGAGAGGTGAAATCTCTCTTCTCAGCAGGGAAAGCTCTTCCCTTGTCAGCAGAACTTGACAGAAACATGATAACTCTCTAGTTCGTTTATTACTTGACTTGCTGGTTTTACATTTTGGCGAAGGCATTATGAAAGGACACATGATGACAGTCAACGTCCGTCGCGAGCGTGAGCGTCGGCCCGAGACACACATCTAAACTTGCGGATTTAGTACATTTCCTTACAGGTCCAGCCTAAGGTAAAACGCAGAACCCGCCAAGTTTAGGCTGTGCATTACTGTTTTCATTGATGACCAACTTATCTGACGAAAGGATTCAAGGGAAGGAGGACTGGGGGGCTCAGTTTCAGGGTGCGCAGCCGGTGGGTACTTGGATGCATGCCTCTGGGCAACATGCCGCAGAGGCAAGACCACGTGGTAAAGACTCTTCCTGGTGGACAGGAAGTGGGGAGAGGGAATAGAAGCCTTCTGCGCATGTCTGCTTTTCTCTTTTCTTCCCCAGGTTCCCAGCTCACAAGAAGGCTGCACACACCCGGCTCATCCTCTTTGGAAACTCCCTGAGAGACACACCAAGGTGTGTCTCCACAGTTTCCTAGGTGATCCTTGTTTGGTCCCCCAAGAAAGTCCCTTTCCCAAGGTCTCATATCTTGGCAAAAGCCCCCATTCCCTCCAGGACTTGAAGAAAGTTCCTGCAAAAAGGGGGAGTCATTCTTATCTCTGGCATGAGGACCCCGCGGCCCTTTATTAACATATGACTGTGGTGCCTGTCCATTTAACCCTGAAAATGTTCCCCTGTCCCCTCTCCTTGCTTTGAGCCGGTCTTGGCAATTTGGAATAAACTTTTTCCTTTTTCACCCACGGAGTGGCTATTTTGGTTTTTTTTACGGCGCCCATTTCCTTTCAATCCTACATCCAGACAAGTGGGAAAGGAAGATGAGCCACCACGTGCTCCAACAGTCTCCTTGGACTGCCTGGCTTTGGAGCTTTGTGAGATTTTTCTGCTGTAGATTTAGGAACGTCTGATCTGGGTGGGTGTGAAGTTTCCCATCAAAAGTGAAATCACACTACTGGGTATGGCGGCGCACACCTTTAATCCCAGCACTCGGGAGGCAGAGGCAGGCGGATCTCTGTGAGTTCAAGGCCAGCCTGGTCTCCAGAGTGAATCAATGCCTAGGCAGGGATACATAGACTGTGTCAAAAATAAAAACTAGAAAGTTACATATGCTTAGCCAGTAAGAGAATGGTAATTAAAACTACACTGGGAATCCACCTCACCTTAGCCAGAATGGCTATCGTAAGAAAACAAGTGACATAACGCTAGCAAGGATTTGTAAGGAAAGGGACCGCCCTCACACACTGCTGGTGAGAGTGTGAGCTAGTGCAGCTACTACAGGAATCATGGAGGTTCCTGAAAGAAATGTAAACCAAACAAACAAACCCCCTAAAACTACCGTGTAATCCTGCTACACCACTCATGAATGTTTGCCCAAAGGAATCTGTCACATATAGACACTGGCAGTGTGGCTCTTCCATTCACATTAGGCAAGATATAGAACCAGCCAAGATATCCTTCAACAAATGGGTAAAGAAAGCATGGTATGCTCGCAACGGTGTTTTATTCCACTGTAAAGAATGAAATTCTGTCATTTGTAGGAAAGTGGACCACCTGCAGATCTCCATATTAAATAAGCCAGTCTCAGAAAGACAAAAACCTGTGTGTTTTCTCCTGTAAGCGGAATTTAGACTAACATGCATGGCACGAGGGTAGAAAGAGGACTACGTAGGAAGAGGAGGGGCAAAGAGAGGAAGACTAAGGAGGAGGGGACAGCAGTGGTGACGATGAGCAAGGCACAGTGATATACATGTATAAAGTGTCATAATGAAAGTCATCATTTCTATGCCAAAGTATTTAAAGACATAAAGTTATAGAAAGGAAAAAGCAATATGACCAACCTCGTTATGAATACATGCTTGTTCAAGGAAGTTTTGCTATTTTTAACAAACATCAGCTACTGTCTGGGGTCAAAATTTTTTCCTAGCGTTTTAAACCAAGACATTTGGGAAATCCTTTTGGATGCTGTGTGTTCAGCCTTGAAATGATTTCCTCGGGGACAGCTGCCAAAAGCCCTCAGTGCTGACTTTGAAGAGACGTTCCAACAGCCAACCATTTGGAGGAAGTGAACATTTGAAAGAATCGCTGACCCTAAGAAGAGTGTGCACATCATTTACATCAGTAACCAGGGGTGGCGCATGGAGCATCCCTAGGTCTTTGCTCAACAGCGCAATGAATCAATTCTGTGAGCCCCATCTAAAAACTAACATTCCACAAGGCTCCCTTGGTATCACTCAAGGAATATGAGTCCATGTAGACTATACAATCTAGCCTTGCCCAAACATGTTAGCTTCCTGTTCCTCTACAAAACACAGCATTTCAAGAGCACCTTCTAAAAACCATTCCACTAAATAATACAAATTAACCAACTCTATGTGCTTGGCTTTGTTGACTTCCCAGGGGAGGCCTTACCCTTTCTAGGGAGTAACCGGGGAGTAGAGGGGAGTGGGGAGGAGGGGAAGGAGAGGGCACTGTGGCTGGTATGTAAAATGAATTTAAAAATTAAAATTAAAAATGTTATCTGTCCAGTCTCTAATACGTCAAAAGGGATTCATCTTCTTGAAGGACTTATTTTTTGCACTACGTGTGAGTAAAACTATGGATGTTAAAACATTTTGATATATGTGGTGCTAGATGAGGATTTCACTTTGTAAACAACCAACTTAATTATGTTTCGTTTATATGCTCCATCTCAATAAATTGTACTTTTCAAACATATTGTATAAAGAAGTATATAATAATAAACATAGAAAATATTCACATCTCATATCACAAGCCAAAAAAGTGAGTTTTCCTAGTAACATACAGAGTTTGTAAAATAAAAATGGAAAGAATCCCCAACACTAGAAAAAAAATATTCAAAGAGCATGAACTTACATGCAGTGAGCTAGCTCAGCGGGTAAGAGCTAGCTCAGCGGGTAAAGGCATTTGCTGCCAAGGCTGATGACCTGCCTTAGGTCCCTGAAACCCACGTGGTGAGAGAAGAGAACTGATTCCCACAAGCTGTCCTGATCTGCATGTGCACGGTGACACTTTATAGGGAAAAAATGAGCCATAAATATATAAGACAATGATCAATGTTGTTTAAAGAGAGAAATGAAAATAGAATTTGGTTGGAATGACTTTTTTATTCTACCAAGTTGCCAAAAGGATGGAAAGACCAAGATCAACAGACACATTTCTACGATATAGTAGGATATAAACCGGTACTACGTTCACTGAAGACTATTTCCAGGTAACTATCACAGTTATCAGTGGACTTTCTTTGGCCCAGTGATTGCCAGTCTAAAAGTTGAAGTACTTACAAATTGACGCATATACCTGGATATTTATGGCAGCAATGCTTGCAAGTACTTATGAGGGAAAACCACCTAAATCTAACAGTGATGAACTGTAAGATAACAGCACAGTCCCAAAATTAAATCACCCCTAGAAAAGAATGGGGATGTTGTTCTTATGAACTGATAAGAAATTATCTTCAAGGTATATATTGTTGGCCGGGCGGTGGTGGCTCACACCTTTAATCCCAGCACTCAGGAGGCAGAGGCAGGCTGATCTCTGTGAGTTTAAGACCAGCCTGGTATGCAAGAGCTAGTTCCAGGACAGCCTCCAAAGCCACAAGAAACCCTGTCTT